TATGTGTATGATTAACCATAATTTCCCATCAGCAGAAAATAAGTATATTGCGCATTTAAAAAAAAACCAACTATAAACCCGTTGTTGAAAAAAAAGTTTAAAACAAACAAATCGATCAACTGTCCAAACATGAAAACGCGAGAATAACGTCACACATATCAGAATCGGGCTCATGTCTAGTATCCTCTATCATTAAATACCGACATACAATCGATTGTTCGAGATTTGTTGTCAACTTTGAATGAAATATTATAACAAATGAATTGCCATTTGACATGTGAAGTTTTTAATACGTTCTGTTTTGAATTTCGTAGGTTTATTCGGTTTAACATGGCTGACAAACGCGACATCTTATTTCGTGTTAAGGTAATGTTTCAACTAATAATTTTGGTTTAAGTCAGTGGCAGTATCACATATAAAAAGGTATGCAATGATATAGTATAGCCAGCTGAGCATGCAACTGTATAGTATTTCTTATTATATAATACCTTATTAAATTCTGATCGTTTAATTGGCTGTTTATGTTCACGTGATATTGAATAGAAAATTCCATTTCCCAAGAGTGCAATGGAACACGTTCCATTGCACTCTCCGCGAGTGCAATGGAATAAAACGTATAGTACAATTGCACTCTTTGTGTTTTCGATAAATCGCACCCCTCAAAATGCTTCTCATACGAATCTATTAGTCTGTTCTGGACTTTTGGTATTATATAAAACAAATAATGAATGTTTCTTCGTGCAATGGTAAGAATATTTTCATTCGGTGAAAGATGGAATATTCCATTCAATGAATGGAACATTCCATCTTTCACCTCATGAAAATATTCTTACCAGTGCACTCATAAACATTCATTACTTGTATATTATAATAGTACTGGTGTACCAATTTGGCAAACCAAGCACGTTAAAGAGTCATTGTCAACCACAATGCATTTGTTTACATCTTACCTTCAAAAGTGACAAATAGCAACAAATGACGATTATAAGCATATCTTTGGTGCAATTTTAGTATAAAAAAGTATAACCATTGGATGGTAGTAATATATTATGGATTGAGTACTGAAACATCTATTATTGTGCCACTAAAATGGCCGCGAAGCAGGTTTTAGCGCACAATGCATCGTGGTTGACAATCACTCTTTAAAGATAATGTCCACTCCTGTGAACATGCGCGAACTTTGTTTACGTTTTGAAGTGAGTATACATTATACATTCAGTATCATGTATAGATATGATCCGGATTTAACAGCGAGAAATTGTCTATTTGGGTTCGGAAACAGCAAAACAATGGCAGACCAAACTAAATTATACGTCAGTTTAAGCATACACGAGGATCTTTACAACTCGAGCTTATTTCAGTACATCAAGGTATCCCACGCGGAACAATTTTTGTTGCGGAAATTCATTAGGTTGTAATCGTTAGTTACGACTAAGAGACGTTTTCAGACGGTTTAGTTTTCATGTGCCGAACTTCATTGACAAATTAGGTACAGCAGAAGAGCGCACATCGTACGAATCAGTTAAGTACGACAGAATTTGGAGCGGCAAAAGTTGAATGTGCATATTAAGTTGGGCAGAGCCTGTCGAATGATGCGGCATTTGAGCAACATTGCGATCGATTCATACGCTACTTCAATGCCGCCAAGAAGGGAGAAGCATGCGGAAGGAATTTTGTCCCAGTTCCCCTGCTGAAAACGCCCCTCACTCAAAACGACGAAGGCCTTTAAAACTTCTTGATACAAACTTGCAATACACCCTTCCAGAAAGTACGTTACTTTGGCTATAGAGCCTCGTTTTCGTGTATCAGACATTAGTTAAAGGCCGCGTTTCAATCACAAAAACGAGGCTCTATACCCAGAGTGACGTACTTTCCGGAAGCGTGTATTCATGCGTGCGCAAAATGAAAGGAAACGCAATCCTCGATGAGGCTTCCCAAGACCCCTTGGAAGATTGCACGGTTGTTTGTTAATTAATAATCATCTTTCTGTTTATTTAGGAATGTTCTTCTAACCCATTTGATTTACTTTGGAATAGCAGCTTTGGGTAAGCAATTCCATGCATTAATCCACTGAACCCTTCTAGCCTAAGGATAATAGCTTTGTTGGTGATGAATAGTGAGATGATAGTTATAGAAAGATACTAGGTTGAGTGAAGAGTAAACATTTGCGGATATATATTTGAAGTTCGCAGCTATATACGCTTTAACGAAATCTACGTCGCTCATAGATACATGCAATACATATACATGGGCCAATACATATCAGCCCGGTTTGCCAGGAGGCTCCCCGGAGTGGGGTGAATAATTTCTGTGTTCATATGACTGTTTTATCCCATACAATATCCTGCCAAAGTGGGACGACATTATGTAAACATAGCGACGTAGAAATATTTTGGTCGTATATTACTTTCCCACTATTTGCCGTTATCATATACAGTAATACTATGTGATAATTATAATACTATCATATAATACTGTGTGATAGGTCGAATGGTCGAAAATTATCCATCCTGCAGGTCAGGTTTGGCAAAGCATTCATACGGAAAATGTTATTCAACTTGACCGGAATCCCATCCCTTCCTCATTTCTCTTATGTGAACACAAATTGAATTTTATGTTAAGAAAGGGCATGCATATTTTACCGGTTAGCTGCATAAGATCATATGAACAGGCCCTATAAGCCATATGCCATAGCCAGTAGATTGTTGGTATACTGTATAAATTGAGAAATCATATTAAACCATGTTTATGAAAATCGTCTTTTAAGTAAAGTCTAAGTTGAGTAAAATATTGTAAAATTGTGGTACTTCGATCTTCTTAAAAATTTTCCGACTACGTGCACGAAATTATATTTTTAATTTGAAAATAAATTATATATAGTACAAATATTTTTACAAGTTGACTGTCTTTAGTTTTATATGAGATGGTCTATTTTGTAGCACAAGTGCTTGTAATTAATCTGGTGTAATTTTGTATTTCAGTGTTCATCCGGGAACTTTCCGTCGAGTATAATAAATACGTCATGTTATCATTAATCTTCCATATCGCCATTTTGTCTGTAACGACTGTTTACACCATCAAGTTACAGCGAGCGAACCAACCTATTCCTGATAAACCTGTTAGTTTTGCTGACTCAGATGATGGGGACGCATTTAATTGATCAAGGCAATGGTTAAAGATTCTTTTGATCACGTGTTCAGTGTTCACAAGATTGACAATTACTTCGGTTCAGGTGGCAACCTAGCAATGGGCATACATTTGGCTCACGCAAAAATATTAAGATCATTTTACTAGTGGTATGTGGTACCAAGGAGCAAATCACTCGGAAAGTTTCGCAAACGTTGACGAAAAGTCCGTGAAGGTTCAAAAAGTTCAATGTCTTTTAAAAGTGCCAAAATCCAGAATATAAGCTGGACAATGCTAAAATTTATTAAATATACTCTTGAGATTTAAAATTTACGTCTGAACTGAGTGAAAATGTAATAGAATACGATGGTGCCGGCATTCTATTTACGTACTTTCTTTACATTCTATGCATGGCAATTATATTTTATCCCAATTAAGTAAATATGGATTCTGACGAGTGCATGAAGTCAGAGTGCTCTGATACGAATATTTCTTATACCAAATATTTGTTATTAATTTAATAATTTCCTCGTGAAAACTATATATAACTGCATTTTACTACATAGCTTCGCCAGAACTTTGAAAATCATAAAAAGTTATTGTTTTCCTTCCTGTAAGTGACCGGACTTTTGTAAGTCCAAAAGTCCCACATACCTTCAAGGAGTGATTTGCTCCTCTTATTGTCCCACGTGCGTAAATATCACACAAGATAACTTTGATTAGTATGGATAAAAGCATAGTTTCGAATGCAGCTTGTAAAGGAAGAAACTTGTGGTGGCTAGACTAACGAATTTTCACAAACTTAATCTATACCAGAATGCATTTTTCAACTGTTTGTTTATGTAGTATACAGGTGCATCCCAGAAAATTAGAATGTCTTTGAAAACATTTCTCCTGCCCAAATATGATTCAAAAAGTGAAACTTTTTATTGTCAGCGAATCATGACATGTAAAAATAAAATATTTGTATTTTTTGTTGTAACATCATATGCTACAATACAAACATGTGAATGAGCACCCTAGCTTAAATGTCGAGATATTATATTCTAATTTTCTGAGAAGCACCTGTGTATAGTTTTAAAAGTATTATTTTTTGTTACCCATTCATCCATACTTTAAGTTTCTCCCTTCGATAGTTCACCGATATTTTGGGGAAAAAATACCTTGGCTGTTTTGTCAAGAACACTGTCATTTTTTATTATTCACTGTTTAGTTAATATTAAGATGCAAAAGTGGAAATTTGTATATGATGTGTATTTATAATATAAGTGGGATATAACGTGCAATTTCATTGGCTAATGCGCGTGCATTATATCGCAATAATGCACTGTGGTCCGAGGCACTGCAAATTTTGCTGAAATACATCAACTTCGCCACTTTGTTATGCTTGTTCAGGGGCACCCTAGTTAATTTGGGATGGCTTGAGCCATGTGGAGCCCAAAGGAATTACGCCACTGACAGGAATACCAAAACATAGAAGAAAGCTAAAAAAATGGTAGATTAAAGTATTTGTTAACAACTATATTAGTCATTTACAACAATACAACTCTTACCGTGATCAATGTCATGAGTTCTGTACAGCATTTATGTTTCTAGTCCCACATGCATATAGTTTTAATCACAGCATTTCCCTTTATTAGCAAAAATGTAAACAGGGAAGTTCGATATTTTGGTCGAACAAAGTTGCTATGTTCGATTTCCTGTGGCTTTCTAACGCAATGGAAACGATTATTTTTACATTCTCCGCATTTTTTATTGGCTTAATTAAAAAAAAGTGCGGTGATGGGCGAGTATTAACCGACGTTTTTCAGTTGATGATTTGCGCCAAAAATGCCTGATCACCCTGTAGATTTGCTTGTCGATTCGACGACAATATATTAGACAATCATGCATGATTTTTATCAACTGATTTATTGTTTAGATGAATGTTAAAGCAAAAAAACAGTCAATGACATGATTTGTGGGCTCGTTTTATTATTGCTCCTCATTATTTAGTTTCTTTAGTGAAATATCTTGCACCTCAGTCATAAGTCGACCGACTAAACTCGTAAACCAGTGTGCAATGGGTCCAGTTCAGGACTCACAGTAAATATCAGGATTAGGTATTTCACGCGATAGAACTAATTGTTGGAGTGATTTGTGAATCCTTACTACTTTTCAGTTCGACGTTTTGGTTTAGATACGAAACAAAAATATTTTGTTTTATTTGAGATGAAAATAAAAGATAATCTTTCAAAATTCCAAAAATAAATAATGCATTGCATTTATCCAGCGTTTCATAAATCAGTGTGAAAACTTTTCACAACATTCGTCGGCAGGTTTGACTTGTCTAAAGCAAGTCGTATTATTACTTAGTGGTAGCAGCAAATAATTTAATTGATGTATTGGGTTACTGGCTATTTCCTTAGTTTTTATTAATTAAACAATTTTGTTGTGAACTTGTTTTTTTTTCTATCATACATGCAGTGACAGAATGTTCATGGCTCCCAAGATTTATTTATATGCAAATCGGGAAAAATTATATATACGAAAAGCACGTTAACTTTCTGACGTTTTTCAAGATCATCGGACAAGTACTGCGACAGCGAGTCGTGAAATACTTCACAAGAATACTGAATAACTGCATGGGCGAATATACAATTGGCGTGGACCGAAACTAAATCATTAGAGGGTAACTTAGCACGTTTCAATTGTCATAAGAAGTCACTGGAACCTTTCACAAATATTTTAGACACAGGCGTTAATTCTACTTGAAATCATCGGAAACGGTAAGGTCCAGTCATTTTACAGAAGTTACAACTTCAACATTTTACCATTAACAAGACGCCTGCTCAGGCGTTCACACTGACCTGAAAATAGGGAGCTTTAGCAGCGACTACGGGTACGATTACGAGTACGAGATTTGCT